GATGCCTACAGAGGTTGTGCAAGAAGAGGTGGTGCAACGGATACGAATTGAGCGAATTTCGGCTGCCCAAGACAAAGAAATGTGGATACGGGATTTGAAGCTCTACTTACGGGGTGAGTGGAGCAGTTTACCCGCAGAAGTGGCGTTGGCATGCGGCAAGATCGAGACGAATTACGCTTTGGATGATGACGGACTTATATTGTATTGCCCGGGTCTGGGGACAGCTGAAGAGGATCGCGATGGGTGGATCCGGCTAGTGATACCTGAAAGCCTACAACAAGATTTTCTGCACCATTACCACAAGAGTCTTGAAGGGGGACACCAAGGAATCGGCCGCACGTACCAGCGGATACGAAGGCATTTCCATTGGAGAGGGTTGTTTCGAAGTGTACAGCGCTTCGTTGGTACTTGTGTCGACTGTGAGACCGGAAAAGGTGGATCCACCTTACGAGGAAAGACCCCAGGGAATGTTCGGGCAACCTACCCATTTCAGGTCATCGCGATGGATCATATTCCATCGTTGCCCAAGTCGTTTAAGGGAAACACGGAGCTGTTGATATGGGTGGACCTGTTTACTGGTTATGTAATTGCTAAGGCCAGCTCATCGAGGTCGGCTCAAACCGTGGCAGAAGGGTACGAAGAATGTGTATTTCGAAGGTTTGGGGCTAGTGAGGCGATCCGACACGACAGGGAACCAAGTTTCATGTCGAATTTCTTTCGTGCTTTCAACCGCATGATTGGGCAAAAGCAGCGGGTCACCATGGTCTACCGGCCGCAGGCCAATGGAACTGCGGAAAGGATGGTACAGACGATCACCCGAGCTATCAAGATGTATGTGTCGGAGGTGGACCAGAAAGATTGGGATGCATACGCGGAACGGCTCACATTTGCGCTGAACACGGCGCAGTACCGGGTCCGAAAGGAGACTTCGTTCTACCTGGTGCATGGTTATGACGCACGAAGCACGTTGGAGGCCACTATACCGCTGGGTAGTGCCAGGCGGCGTGACTGTGACCCCCGACGGTGGCGATATGGCGTACAGCGACAGTATCGCCGGGCAAGGGAACAAATCAACGAGTTATTGCGATCAGCAATGGAAAGTCGAGCCGAAATTCACAATGAAGAGGTGGCGAATAGCATGATTGAGGCAGAATCTCAGGTGTGGTTGTATCCAGACCGGGTCAAGGAAGGCTATGCCCGAAAATTGGCCCACCTATGGCATGGGCCATTCCGAGTACGGGAGATGGTGGGGGACCATGCAGCTCGCCTGGATATCAGTGGGACCGATTATCGCATTTACCCGCTGGTGCAACTTTAGAAGTTGAAGCTAGTCCGGCAATATCCTGACAGACCGAATACGGTTTTGGTGGTGAAATAAACGGATCAGGTGGATTTTGACGAAGCCCTGCTACCAGAGGATAGCTGGGATGCGGAATTGAAAGACAATGAGTATGAAGTGGAGATGATTATCGACAAGCGCATGGGAAGAAAAACTCGATATGGTCGTATTCAATGTGAATACCTGGTGCAGTGGAAAGGATACTCCGATCCGTCGTGGGTAGACGAGGTGGACCTCAATTGCGATGGACTACTTGAGGACTACGAACGCAGGCAAGTCACTCGGAATCGTTTTGAGGTGATGCAGAGCCATGAGGAGTAGAAGGGAGAGTTCATCTTGGGAAGTCCAAGATGATGCAAGAAGGAGGTGTTATTTGTTGCATGCACAGAAATTGGTCAAATATGTATTCTAGAAGTGCAGCAGAACAAGAAGAGTGAAGTATTGCTAACCTGTAGAGGACACCGAGGGACTATCTAAGATATGGCACCAAAGAGGAAGATCGAGAATGTGCTTGGGATTTCGAGGTGAAATGGCATTATCTCGGCTTATTAAGGATGCACTTAAAGCTAGTGATAACCCTCAGGCGGTGTCGGGTGGAGAAAACTTGCCATGGAGACGGGGAACCCCGAAAGCGGGATGCTCGTGGATGTTCTTGTGGTAAAAGATGCGCCACGGTTCGACATCATCCACCACCTGCAACGCCGCCATAAGCCCCGGTTGAGAACTCTCCTGGTTGACCCTTGGGGTCCAGTAAGACAGTTGACGCGTGGGGGTAACGGGCTGGAAGAAGGGGTCCAGCAGGATGTCCAAGTCACAGTGACCTGCTACCATCCCCTGCAGGACCTTCTTCAGCACTCCCATCCAAGCCTGTGTCGCCTTGGCCCGTCGTTTTTTCCTGGCGTTGTAAATGCGGGAGATGTACGCACTGCCGGCACGAAGAGTTATGGAGAAATGAAGACGGTGCCGGTCCTCCCACAAACTCTGGCGCGATGCGTCTGCGTAGGCATCGTAAAGCTCCACCAGTCCAACAAACCAGCCGTTTACGGAGAACGAGAGAGGATACTCAGACATCGTCTGCTTCTCCCATGGGCGCGAGTTCATCAACAGCCGGAGCTGAGATTCCGTTACGAGACTATTAGTCTCGCCCAGGCGGTCCTTTGATCTTTTGTCTAAAGGGGGGCTCGGACCCATCCACGAAGCTGGAAGGGTTATGCGAGACCACAGGTCCTTCACGCTTAATTGCAAGATCGCAAGGGGGCCCACCATAGAGACGGGCCATGGGGCAACGTCTTCGGTCTTGAACACACTTGGCTGGGCGTATCCCGGAATGGATAGGCCCCAGGCGTTGGAACCAGCGGGACCTTTGGATGCTGGCACCCCTTGATCATCAGAGTCGAGACTCTTAGTATCGGACTCGGAAGGACCGAAAAGCTGGATGAACAGGTTGGAATGAGGCGTGGGCGTCTTTTCCGAGCTAAAAGAAGCAGCAAGTGACGTCTGTACCTTGGGAGGAGGCTTGTCCATTGGTTTCCCAGTGGGCCCCGCCGGTTTCGCTGGTTTCTTAGTGGACCCCGCCGGTTTTGGAAGAGGCTTCGACGTCGGTTTCAGAGTGGACCCCGCCGGTTTTGTTGGTTTCCCAGTAGATTCCGCCGGTTTTGGAAAAGACTTGGACGTTGGTTTCCCAGTGGACCCCGCCGGTTTCGAAGAGGCTTGGACGTTGGTTTCCCAGGGGACCCCGCCGTTTTCGTTGGTTTCCCAGTGGACCCCGCCGGTTTCGGAAGAGGCTTGGACGTTGGTTTCCCAGTGGACCCCGCCGGTTTGGGAAGAGGCTTGACTTTTGGTCTCCCAAAGGACCGCACTGGTTTGGACTCCGTTGATGTTGGGAGAGGACCGGACTTGGGTGTCCCAGTAGATCCCACGGACGTCGAAGAAGGGCCGGATGTCGTTTTACGAGATAAGTCCACCACCTCTGGAGCGGGTTTCTCCACGGAAGTCACCGGGCTACCACGACGACCGTGACCGAGCCATGGCCGCTAGCAGAGACTAGTCGCTGCTACTGGACTCGTCTTCAGGGGAACTTGGGGCACGGGTGGTCCGACGCTTCTTCGATGTGGAAAAGGCTGGAACTTCGGCAGTAGGAGACCAAGATCTTTCAGCCCTTGAAGGTCCTGGGACCTTAGTCTTAGGCGAGGCAGATCTATCCGCGGCGCTCCGAGCTACGGCCAGCTGTTTCTGGAGTTGGTCCCGTTGGCAGGCGACTTGCTTCACGAGGTCTTTAGAGCGGGCCAGCTCATCTCGAAGTAGTGATACTTGAGATACTGTGGACCGAAGATCGGCCGTGGTGGTATCCAACTTGGCCTCCAGCTCTTTTGGTGCAAATATATAATACCTATATATAGAGGTATAGATGTCCGGATAAAAGGGGGTGCAAATTTTCAAAAGGGGGAAGTGCAAATACAATTTCCTTATATGTAGATACAGATGTACGGATAAAGAAGAGGGGATTGGCCTCCGATGTAAGTGGACTTAGTACGGCGATATCGGCTATCGAACCATCACCGATATGGTGCGGTATTACCGATACCATACCCAAACGCTCACACTTTTAGGACAAGTATGAAAACATACAGTACTATGCACGATTCATGGTTATCTAATCGTGGTGTAATGTTGAGAAAGGTTCCAAACGTCGTGTAACCCGTTACAAGTTACCACACAACCAGGCATCCTAGTAGCCAGAATAAGCAGTCTGTGACCCCTACATTTTACTTTCGATATTTATCGATTATGAATAATATTTTTTGTAAGCAACATACGAATAGTTTAAGTTGTAGCTCACAGCCCAAGTAATACAATTGAGGGTAAAGAAAGCACTTTCTTGCTAATTAGCCCATCTTCGGGCAGTCTGTTACGATAATAATAGTACTAAATATCGATGTTCATACAGTACATGCACATTTTTTACGCATAAAAATACAGTATCTTACTGGCAGGAATCGACTACTGTCTAGCACCGACGAGCCCTAGACATTGACAGAAAATAGATACGTCTTTATCTAGAAGCATTCAAGCAAGTTCGTAGTTTTGTAGTACCGTATCTGGTCCAGGCTGCCAACCTCATCGTTTCAGCACCGGTCATTGTCAGTTAGTAAAACATGAGAGCGACGGATGTGCTGCATCGACGTAATCGGGAGAGTACGCCATGAGGCAGCCGCAGTTATGGTTGCCGTGAGCAATCATTGCTGGACAAAAACGGCTTTGTCATATCATCCACAACCTTGTTCTTCTCTTAGCCCAGCGTAAGCTGGTTGCAATTGCGTTGAGATTTGCAGTCCGTCATGGACTTGGATGCGCAATGATTTATCATGTACAAATCGTACGATCACGAGTCGTTGATGATCGCCTGCCACATTTCACTGCTGAGGAGGCCGAGATCATTGAGGCATGATGTGGAGAGAGTCTTTTTTCGGAGATCATGGACTACAGGACTGAACTGCAGTGCACACGTTCAGCAGCGGCGATATCGTTCGGGTTAGAAGCGTCAGATGGAACACGAGGACAATTCTGATGCAAGCGGTGAGGTGCACAACCCATTATTGTCTGCCTAAAGCAATGAAGTAGGATAGCTCTATCTAGTTGTCAATACAAAAGCGTTTTACATCTACTTTGTAACAATGTTCAACAATCCATGGGCGCCTTGCTTCTTGGGAGGAACCAAAATCGCCTGGCACACGTCTCGGCCATGGACGTGGCGCTGCACAAAAGGGGAGTCCAGTGCCAACGCCAAGACTGCGTCCGAGTCCCTAGCCTCCAGCAAGGCAGGGTCTACAAGGATAGTATCACGCGGTTTGCCTTGCACCTGTAGCACCACTTTCACCTGAGCACGATCCAGTAGCGCAGAGTCGTAAACTGGCCATGCGGAAGCATGGACATCAGCTACATCGTCGCCGTCTTGCAAAGTCTGAAACATCTCAGCAGCAGTGTGAGGAGCCAGTGGTGCCAACATTTGAACCAAAGCATGCAGAGCCTCTTCATATGCTGCAGAGCCTTGTAGACGAGTGCGATGCTCGCCAAGTAAGTTTGACAGCTTCATAAGCTCCGCGATAGCGACATTAAACGACTGAAAGTCATTCAGTGCCTCCGTCACACGTTTAATCGTTCCGTGCAGCTGGTGGCGAAGCTCTTTCTCCTCGTCTCTATCTGCACGAGAAATAGCACCTCGACTGCGTGAGGCCACCACACCGTCCAATAACGACCAAACGCGTGCCAACCAGCGCGATTGACCTGCTAGGTCAGCTTCATCCCACTCCAACTCATAAGCGGGTGGTGCTTTGAATAGCACGGCAAGGCGTGTTACGTCGGCGCCATGGCGTGCACGGATCTGTTCTGGGTCCACACCATTATGCTTTGATTTGGACATCTTTTCCCAAAGTGTTACCACGGGATGCCCAGTCTTTTTTTCTACGACGACCATGTGACCATCGGATACTACCTCTTCATATTCATCCGACGTCAAAGGGCGTAGCGAGCCCGGCGATTTGTATGTGCGCCCCAGCACCATCCCCTGAGCCAAAAGCTGAGCAAAAGGCTCATCGGTGGCCAGAAACCCTTGATCAAACATGAATTTGGTCACAAAGCGCGAGTACAGCAGGTGCAAAATTGCATGCTCGATGCCACCGACGTAAAGGTCCACGCCCGTGCGCTTTAGCCATGTTTGTGCTTGCTCGGGTTTAAAGGCAGCAGCATCGTTGCTAGCGTCGCAGTAGCGCATGTAGTACCACGAGCTATCAACAAACGTGTCAAGTGTGTCGGTGTCGCGCTTGGCATCGCCGCCACAACGTGGGCATTTGCAGTCCTGCCAACCAGGCATGCGCGCAAGAGGAGAGTCACTACTACCTTTTCCACGCAGGCCGGTAGCCACATCTTTCCCCACGGGCGGCAGTACAACTGGTAAGTGCTCGGTGGGAACTCCGACCGGTCCACACGACGGACAATGAATGATTGGTACAGGAGTGCCCCAGTAACGCTGGCGTGAAACTAACCAATCCCGCAGGCGGAACTGAGTAGTGGCACATCCAACGCCCTTCTCTTCGAGACGATCGTTAATGGCCGTCGTCGCTTCCTGCGATGTCATGCCGGAAAATTCGTTAGAGTCATGCAGCACGCCATAATCTGTGAACGCCTCGTCTTCATTCCACACAACTCCGTCGCTGCTTCCCACAACGGACCGCACTTCTAGATTGTGGTGACGCGCAAAGGATAGATCTCGACTATCGTGTGCGGGGACGCCCATGACCACACCGGTACCGTAATGTGCTAACACGTACTCGGCCAAGTAAATGGGCACGTGACGCCCGGCAAGCGGATGATGTGCATACAGTCCTGTGAAGACTCCTGCCGTCGTGTCGCCCTTGCCTTGGTCGTCTTTACTCATTGCGCGCACCTTGGCAACGTAAGCATCGACGGCAGCCCGCTGTGCTGCCGGAACGTGTGGGAGCAAAACCTCCACCTCGACGCTGTCAGGAGCCATTGAAACGAAGCTCACACCAAAGATGGTGTCAACGCGCGTCGTGAAGACCGTCAAAGTGGTCGGTTTGACACCTGCCGCTGCATTGAGTGCAACCTGGAACTCGACTCTTGAGCCCTGCGATCGTCCAATCCATGCTGCCTGCATACGCTTCACGGCGTCCGGCCACTTGTTTAGCTGCTCAAAATGTGTTAAAACCGCCTCGACATGTTCACGCTCTGCAGTCACCTACCGTACCTTGTTCAGGTCGTCCAGCAGTCGGTCACCATACTCCGTGATACGCAGGAACCACTGATTGAGCGAGCGCTGTTCAACGATTGCGCCAGAGCGCCAGGATCGTCCTTCTGCATCTACCTGTTCGTTGGCGAGTACTGTCTTGTCCACGGGGTCCCAATTCACGAGAGCTTCTTTGCGATAGGCCAGACCTTTTTCAAACATCTGCAAGAAGATCCACTGCGTCCACTTGTAGTAGTCAGACGAACACGTCGTAACTTCTCGATCCCAGTCAAATTTTATGCCTAATGCTTTGAGCTGGTGCTTGGCCTGTGCAATGTTAGCCATTGTCCAGTCCGCGGGCGAGATGCCGCGCTCAATGGCCGCGTTCTCGGCCGGTAGTCCAAAAGCGTCCCAGCCCATCGGATGCATTACGTCATATCCCTGCATACGCTTAAGACGTGCCATACAGTCGCTGATAGTGTATACACGCACATGACCAATATGCAACTGACCCGAAGGATATGGAAACATGGAGAGGCAGTAAAAGCGCTCCTTATTCGTCTTTTCACTCACATCAACTGACTGAAGTTCCTGTTGTGCCCAGCGCTTTTGCCATTTCGTCTCAATGGTCTCCCACGCACGTAAAGACCTAGTCGCGAAGCTGCGGCGCGTCACTTTTAGCAGACGATAGTGCAACATAATATTGTACTTTGTGGCTGGCTAGTAGTAGACGATCGGTTATGTAGCTATTATACAGTTGTGGAGCATGTAGTTTTACCCCAAAAAATGGGCATTGCAAAGATTTTTTAGGTCAAAAATAAAATAAAACAGAACCCAAACGTGAAACGAGCAAAATGGTCGTGACGGCAGGAGACATTTCAACTTTTAATATACAACACGGTTACGTAGAGGGACTCGTACGAGGCTTTCGGTCGGGCTTTTTAGATGATGTGGACTATCACCACCTGACGCAGTGTGAAAATCTAGAAGGTACTACAAGAGAGAGAGAGAGAGAGAAAAAAAGATCAAACGCGAAACATTCGTGCTATCTCGATCTATTAGTTTACTTTAACGGTATTACTTTTGTGTGCCTCTGTCTGCAGATGTGAAGCTAAATCTACAGGAAACAGATTATGATCAGTTTCTAGCGGACGAGGTGAGAGGACGTCTGTTATGGCTTGTTTCACACCCGGACTACTATTACTACGACTACTACTACTACTACTAGTAGTAGTATATTATTATGGTAGTACTATTACTAACTACGATTACTATAGTCGTCGGGTACCATCTCGCCTGGCTTGATTCAGGGTGGTACAACCAATAAACTTGTGGAAGAGGTAAAGTTTTTGCGTGCACAGGCCATGGAACCACTAGGCGAATTCCTCGATTTTATCACGTACGTTACGCTCTGTTTGGATAATTGATACGATGTGTGTTGGCTACTGATTGGGGTTTGTGTATTCAGATACGAATACATGATCGACAATGTGATCCTTTTGCTCAAAGGAACTTTAAATGGGCGCGATGTAAACGAGCTCATTGGACAGGTGAAGGAGACTAAGAGGCTTGTTGGTAGATAGTCTTCTTTTCGATTACTGTATTCTAAAATCTCGGTCTTTTTGTTGGTGTTGTGCTACTGACAGCTCCACCCACTTGGACAGTTTGATGAGTCCATCATGCGCAGCATTTGCACGTTCGAGCCGAACGCCAAAGGCTACACGGACCTGTACGAGACTGTGCTGATTGACACTCCTATTGGTATAGATCAAGTACGTTTGCGTCTCTTTCTTTGCTTTGAGGCTGATGATGGCGTTCTTTCTTCTTGCAGGGACCTATTTTAGTCAATTTCTCGAGGAAAGCGCAGGAGGCGACCGCATGGACGGCACATCAGATGTGCGCAACGTCTTGGAGGAAATGCAAATGGAGCTCATCAAGAACAGCATGTTGAAATTATGGCTTGAAGATTTTTACAATTTCTGCCAGGTGCATTCGTCTGACGATATCATGTGTTTTTTGGAGAGCGCAGACTGACAAGCTTGCCTTTTCGAAAATTGTAGAAGATTGGCGGTGATACGGCTGTCATCATGGGGGAAATCCTTAAGGCGCGGGCTGACCGTATTGCGATCAACATTACGTTGAACTCGTTCGACACGCCGTTAAACGAGGTTTGTTGCCACGTTAATCTCTGTTACAATTAACAGCATGGACTGACTGCTTTGCATGCTGTAGCCTGCGATGCGCATCTCAGACCGCAAGCCGCTGTATCCGTCTATTGGTTCGCTATACCCCGATGCGACGGCGCTTCTGGCGGAAGCTGGCGATGAGTCGGCACTCGGATCAGCATTGGATTCGTTCCCAGCATATCGTAAGATCTGGGAGGTTCATCAGAGTGAGGGCGTGGACAGCAAGTCCATCGACGACGCATTTTACGAGCGTGACGTCCAGATGGCGGAATTGGCGTTTCAGAGTCAAATGCACTTCGGTACGAGTGGATCCGAGAGCATTTGTGTGTCGTGTCTGCGTATGACCAACTAACTGAGTCGTTTTGTCCCGTTGCAGCTTGCTTCTACGCGTACGTTAAGTTGAAAGAACAGGAGGTGCGCAACTTGGTGTGGATCTGCGAATGCATCGTGCAGAACCAGCGCGACGCCATCAACAATTTCATTCCAATCTTTAGCGACAGCGCTCCGTGGCGTGGCAAGGGATCAAGCAAACATTAAGAGACCAGGGCGATCCTGTGTTAGCCTCTGTGTTTCTCTTCAAACAGCAGTCACGTCGTGACTCAAAACTGCATAAGCATTGATCTCTTTCATCGATCTCTTGGGATCGCTTTGCATGATTGGCCATTTTCTCTCGATCCTGTAGCAATCAATTCCCATTCCTCGATTAACAAACAAGCAGCACCATGGTTTAGCTAACAACTCGCTATATGGCTATCATCACTATCTCAAGCCTTACGCTTGTCTGTGCCTGTTGCTGCTTTGCAGAATCATGTGGCTGCTTTCATGCAGCCCTTGGTGACTAGACGCTCGTTTTCCACGATACCGATCTTTAATCGAGGTGCATATCAGCATCGTCGAAACTTCTCGCTCATCGACTCATACGTTGACTAATCTCTTCGTTTTCTACTTGATGCAATAGGAACCAAGAGGCAACAGCGGAACAACATCGCGCTTTTGGACAATAGTAACGAGTACGAGTATCTTCAGGACGAGGTCGCTCGTCGCCTCGTCGATCGCTTGGAGGTGCGAACAAGCCACAGCTGAGTGAAATACGTCGTATGGACAGAAGGTGACCGTGGCTGTCGTCTTTTGTGTGCTTATGGTAGGATATTGAGCGCGAGTTCCCATTGGCACTGGACTTGGGGTGTGGCAGTGGCCACCTATACAAGAACCTGAGCATCGACCACGGGCTAGGAGGCATCAAGAAGCTGGTCCAGTGCGACTCGGCGGGTACGAACGAGTATAGCAGAGCGGCGATAGTGGAAGAGACTGGCGTCTGACACTCTGTCGTTCGCATGTTTGCACAATGCAGAGAAATTGCTTCTACGCGACAACTTGGAGACGAACACCTTGCGTACGTAGTCATTCTGATAACTAAGAGAGGGTGCTGTACTGCTAACTCGGCTCATGGTCACTGTGGCCTATGCAGTGGAGACAACACGTCTGGTAGCAGATGAGGAGTTCCTTCCATTCCCGAGCCGCCACTTTGACTTGGTAATGAGCTCACTAAGTTTGCACTGGGTGAACGATCTTGAAAGCACGTTTCACCAGGTGCTAGACACGCTGAAGCCCGATGGTGCATTCATTGGTGCGGTGCTGGGAGGAGACTCATTGCAGGAACTGCGGTACGCTTACGATAACCATATTGTGCATAAAGTATCCGCGCCCTAATGCTGCATTGTTTTACAGGAGTGCCTTTATCCTTGGCGACCAAGAGCGTCAAGGCGGCATTTCCCCCACATCTCTCCATTCATGAACGTCGCTAATGCTGGCAACCTCTTGTCGGCTACGGGGTTTAACTTGTGCACTGGTACGAACGTTCCAGCCAAGTGCAATTACAACGAATACTAACTTAGCTACTTTGCATCCAGTGGATACGGACTTTATCCAAGTGGACTATCCAAATGCCTTTGTATTAATGGAGCATCTACGTGGCATGGGTGAAAATCACGCCATAAACTCGCGAGGAGCTCCTGCCACGCGTGACTCGCTGCTTGCGGCTGCCTCAATCTATCAATCCATGTTCGGCCAATCGGACGGCACGGTACCTGCTACATTTCAGGTTATCTACCTCATTGGTTGGTCTCCACATGAATCGCAGCAGAAGCCACTGCGTCGTGGCTCAGCACAACACTCGCTCAAGGAGCTCAGCCATGGGTGACATTGTTAGCATCATCACCATTTACTCTTATATAGGGGTTTGCAATTGAGTCATATATAAGAGTGCAATTTATAACTAGGTAATAGAGCTCAATTAACAATTAGACGAGAAGACAAATATGACGAACCCGGCAAGGGATGCAAAGGCTTTGTCACTATCCGACGAAGACATGGCGGGCACACTATACGACTTTTGCTACACATCAGAGCCACTATTGATGCAGTGCCATCGACTTCTTTCGACTCAACAGCAGCAGCAACAACAGGAGTCATGTAATGAACCCAATCACGAGATGTCGCAGTTTAACAGCCTCCCGACCATTGGGTGTCCATCTTCTAATGACCCATATCATACGAAACCCATGCTTTCTCAACGTGACGAGGAAGTGTCGATGCTAGTGAACATGAATGCACCTTCGACGTCCAGTAATGACTGGCATCGAAGGCATCAGTGTGCGATACAGGAGCAGCTTGAGCAGCAACGGGACTTACGGATGCAGATCAACCAGCAGCATCAGCTAGAGAAACAGATGCAACAGCAGCATATGGAGGTGCAACGTTGGCAGCAGGAACAGGTACAACGACAGCAGGTGCAAGCCCAGCGGCTTAGCCGCCACACGAGCCATAACGCTTATAGTTCTTACCACTCGTAGTTAGTTACCTTCACGTAGGTCTCCTTCTTCGTTTCAAAATTTTCCTTCTTCACTTTAGCCTGCTCTTTCGCTGATTCCTTGTCCTCTACAGATGTAAAAGACTCCTTCTCCACCAGCTTCGTCTCCATTTCCTTCACCTCCTGCTTCTCCAACTTCACCATTTTCATCATTTCGACTTTCTCAACCTTCGCTTCCGTCGCGATCTTCTGCTTTCTTGTTTTCTTTTTCGGGGAAGCTGTCTCCTTCTTTTCCTCCTTCACGGCTTCAATCTTCTTGATCTCAGCCTCTGCATCCACTTTGGCTTCCATCTGAATCCTACGTTCTTCGGTTGCACATTCTTAGCACAAGCCTTCTCATCCTTCGCTATTTTCTTTACAGTTTCGATAGCGGCCGAATTCTCTTCCTTGCTCTTCTAATATCACCCTTTCCACACCCGGAAGGGCGCGGAATGAAAAAAATTTTTAAAGAGGGGGGGGGGGGGTTGTTTGTTAAAAAAAAAAAAAAAAAACCCCCCCCCCCCCCCCCTTTTACCCCTCTTCTCCCCCCCCCCCCCCCCTCCCCCCCCCTTCCCCCCCTTTTTCCCCCCCCCCCCGGTCTAAACGTATACTGCTCAGCATCTCGTCAAACACCAACTCCCGCACACGCTTCATTTCCTGACACAACCCCTGAGGATTATCGTCCACACTGTTGCGAAGGTGTCACGTAGTGCAGCTTTTGAGGTCGCCGTTGCTATACCTAGCGACGATATCGACGGTATCGACGCTATCGTTGCTGACGGAGCGCCCACAACTCATTCATCACCGATGGCTATTCTAATTGCAGATACTAGATATCATATCTGGTTCCACTGGCAGGCGATCACCAGACGCCGCGACAACGACATGCATGTACTTCACAGCAATGAACGGCTTTTGTCAAGGAATTTTTCAACCACAGACCCGGCTCCTTGCTGCTGCTGTTAGCTCATTCACAAAAAAATCGTAATCACGTCGGACATTCAGCCAGCCCCTCTGCAGTTGTATGTTATGCTTGTTCATCATCGTTTACTGTCCATAGTGTACAAATGATCACGTGCCATGATTCTGCTGCAAAAGATTGAAGAGCAAAAGGAAAGACAAAGACGATATGGTACAAGAACACGCACTTCCACCACATTCATCCTTTGCTGCATGATGCAGGGAAGAGACATCACACACGATGCATTGTCTTCACTTCACTTCACTTTACTGCTGCGAGTGAGTGGACACGAGTAGGTTGGTTGGCATCTGCACCTTCTTGCTGGGATGCAGGGGGGAACAGGTTGGACGGAGTATCTGGTAGACAAAGACGAGGTACGTCGGATGGTCGTCTGCCGTTTGATTCTTGTCTATTAGCCCGCGTACTTCAGTGCAGTGGCTGCTATCAGGCGTGCGTCCATTTTGAAGCTTTAAGAGTTCGTCTTGGGTCTCGCTGCGCTGCATCGTCAGTGTCACTGTCAGTCAGTTGCAGCACCAGTTGATGGTGATTGCCAGTGCATTAGAACTCCAACAACTGGTTGCAGTGTTTATTTGCTTCAAGACGTCCCGTGCCTATTGACTGCTGATGTTCAAGGTATCCGTAGTGACTTCAAAACTCCGGTGGCCAATCGCCGCTTGCCAGCTCAATCCACGGTGCGCTTGCTCGCGATATCCTCGAGTAGAGGGGTCATTCTTGGAAAGCTCCTGCCGAGTTTTAGGGAGTATTTCTTCGTCCTCAGCATGCTCTATCGATGAGAAATGCCATTGGAAGGAGCCACCTTTCTCATTGACTTGGAGTTGCTACTTCCCATATTGCGACGCGAAAGCCGAGTTGCACATGGACGACTTTTTTTTCGATGGAGACTGATGCCTTTGCTTTGCCTCTGCTGGACTGGTTTGATTCAGACGATATACTGCTGAAATCCCCTGAGCTGGATAGGAGCCACACGCATCTACAGCAGACGCAGATCCCAGTCACTGTCAGCCATTGCCCGACCAGTCCAGTGAGCACCGATGACGACACCACAGACGCTGAAGTGCTGACGCCGCCTCCTGCTTTTCAGCAGCATTTGCTGTGCTCTTTGCCGAAGGAGGTGGACATGATGTCGTTTCTTGCAGCGAAAGTGTTGCTCTTGGGCTCGTCCATGTCGACGCACTCGCCGCTTTCCAGCGGACAGAAGCTGCTGTCGCCTCGGACGCACAAGGTTATTGACAAAAGTAGCAGCAATAATAACAACAGCTCAGTGACGTCAACACCAATCGATGCAGCCATTCGATGCAATCAATCGACAAGACGCAGCCAATGCCAGTATCGAAGCCGTTCTCTGATGCTCTTTCCTATGCCTTGCCTGTGGCATACTTCGCACCGTCATTCAACGTCAACCAGAAGCGGCCAGTCACTCCCGTCCTTCCGGGCGCGACGTCACTCAGCACGTGTAATTCTGCATTGTCTTCTGCTATTACTGCTGCTGCTGCAACCAACGATTCGTACGCGATAAAATCCAAACGCGAGATTCGCCAGATGAAGAATCGGGAGAGTGCTAACAAGAGCCGTCTACGTCGCAAAGCACAGCTAACGAATCTGACGGCGAGAGTCGCCGAGTTTAAAACGAAGGAGAAGGAGATGCTGATCATCATTGCAGGTCTGCGAGCTGAGAACAAGTCATTGCTGGACCAGAACATGTTTCTGCGCTCGTTGGTAACGAGCTGCAAGCAGGAGCATGCATCGTCTCACAGCGACCACCAGCTGGCTGCTTTCGTGTCACTGCCAGATCAGAGCTGCGTGGCGCTCAACATGCTGGAGAGTGTCCAGAAGATGGATGTGGATGATGACGCACAGGCTGCGGATTTAGCTGTCATGACGCCGCAACCAGACAAACGGCGTACTATGGCGTCCACGTTATCAATGGCAAGTGTGGCGGTGTGTGCGTCCGTGTTTGGAATCACTGTTTTCGTCGACTGCGATGGCACTGCCGTCGATGCGGGCAACGTTCGTGGCGTTGGACGCGTGCTGCATGAGGCTCCGACGCCGTGTGGTATAGAAGAGTGCTCTTTTGAAGCATCGATGTCACCATTGAGGTTCGTGGCGACGATGATGGGATCTTGGGGACAGTTAGTGTCGTCTTCAATCGTCCGAATTGGTGTTCGGTGTGTTGCTAAACGTGCTGTCCTTCGTTGTCATCGTGGCGCTGTATCAGCTGTGGCAGGCGCATTCAGCGGGTTTTACGGTCCTACCAAAGTCTGGACGTCGGCATGCACAGCAATAGGCAGAATTGTTGTGGAACAGCTTGTCTGCAATTGACAAGTGCAAAGCGAAGCGGAACGAAAGTGGGTCGATATCCTGTATGACTCGCGAGAATCCGAATGGTAGCTATTACAACGCTAAGGCGTAATTTCCTCCTGTGCTCGTAAAGGATTGTTTTCCAAGCTGCGCTGTGGAACTGATGCGCTGCAAGAAGATGCATGAAAAGTTTTGAAGTGCTACGTAGTAATGGTCAACTTGCCTCCATGATCGAGTAGATGGGAGCAAATTCGCATCATCGACTGCAGAACTTGCCTCAAATGTACGATTTTTATAAAGCGGTTTGTTGGAATTTGGTCGACAGTTCAATTGAGGACGACAAGTGGGGTAGTTGACTCTCATCGATTGGCATATTGGTTCAGCCATTTCTCTTGTAGCGCTACGCTGCTTAGTTCGCTCGTTTAGCAAGCAGACTCTTATATTGACACAAGCCGGAGTTGGTCGTGACAAGACCATGTCGAAAGGATTAGGCCATGTGTGCTAATTACATAATAGAAAGTTAACTTTGTGCGCTGGTAGTAGTAGCAGGACGATCACCGTCTGTTGTCTTGCGCTCTAATGTCCGAGCAAGGAGGGCTAGTGCTCGTGTCATAACTTCTCGCTCACTAGTACGGGAGGACTTCGTCTGCATACTTAACACGGCTTGCATCTCTGACTCCTTACTATCAGGTTCCAGCTCGATGAAGGCGGCCTCAGGGTAAATGCTACGAATCACCTCTTCGACCTCTTGCACCTCTTTCTCTACAAGACGGGTCACATCCTCTGCGTACCAGGATAGAATGAGTGATAGATCATTTTCCAAATCCTTTGTTTCCAAAAATACCGGCTTGTACCTACCGAAAGTAAACAATAAGACAGCATCGTAAGTACCATGTATCAATAGAATGACCAGACCAGCACGCGTACATTTGGAATAGTCTCGCTGCCAAGTACGTTCTATCAAAGTCCACTTCAGCCTACAAATGTCGTATATCCACACAGGTCAGAGCCACAAGACAACAGAGTACATGCAGAGGTTGCTCTGCGCTGCCATCTTACCTTGAAGCTAAATGTCGATGGTCCAACCCACTGTGACTGGACAGCATACACGTTGTCAATGGACGGACGTGCCAGCAACAACTCACGGATACCATTCTCAATTTCTGGCTCCACTGACTGACCCAATAGATACTTTTGGTTCAGACAGATTAGTGATACTGCAACACCACCAAGAAGCACACCAATAGAAACACTTGCGAGGCTATCCCACAGCGTGTTGCCGGTAATATGACTGGCCCCGATGCCGCATCCAGCAAAAAATAATAACACCCACACAGGCCAAGAGATCCTCGAGCAGAACAGCCATCATAAACGGGTCTTTCGTCCGCTTCACGTGCTGATAAAACGACATGTTTTCGGGTTTGGTGGCCAGTAGTTCCTGTACTGACCGCTTAAGCACCCATCCGTCGATGCTGAAAAAAGCCGCAAGCACGCACCAGATCTCCCATGCCAGTGTGAGCTCTCTTGGAGGCTCTAGGATCGACTGGATCCCGTGAACAACAGCCACACCGGAGCCTAACCAGAAAATGCCCAATGCAGAGATGAGCGACCAAAAGTAAGCAGCGCGTCCGTATCCGTACTGATGTTTCTTGTCCAGTACACCTGACGCTTGCTTCAGACCCAAGATAAGGATAGCCTGATTGCCGGTGTCCACGAGCGAGTGAATAGCCTCTGAAAGCATCGCATTGGAGCCAGTCTTTAGCCACGCTAATACCTTAAGGACCGTAATGGCTGTGTTCCCGCCATAGCTCGGAATACCACATCCTGTGACGTCGAGCGGTACACTTTTCCCGGGAAATAGGCCTTAATAACATCCGTCCGTGGCTTGGGCAAAGAATATATGGGTTCAACAACCTTAATTAAGAATGGTTCCTTGTCCTTCTCCTTCCTTTTACGTAAATCATTCTTCTTGTTAGCTTCTGTATCATTTGGAACAACCATCGCGAACCATCGAAGCAAGGCTGAGGCGGTGGTAAAAAGAGCGATCTACGTCTCGGGAATGACGACCGGTGACACTGAGACATGAATGACAATTGACGCAAGCTTTGGGAATGTCGCAGTGACGACCGTGCTACATGAAGAGACCTTAGCATGACGACAGAATATCTGGTGGGGAATTGATACCCGACTTTCGATTGAATGACGCTAGCGTCGTCGATAGGGTGGGTTTGATGTGGCACATATACGCAGTCAGTTAAAAAAAGTAAGGCAGTTCCTTCGTCAAAATTTGTTCTAACTGCTTCCCAGTCGACAGTGAGTAGACAAAAAGGCAGAGATGTTCGTACGTACATCTTTAGGCGTCTGAGCGTTATCATCATTGCTGAACTTCTAGAATCGGTAAGATTAAAGACTTATAAATTTACACAAAACAAATGAAGAATGTATATGAAAAGTGTTATTTTTTTAACCAAAAAACTTGCAATTACCACCACTATCGGACTCACAGCGTAAAAAAGAAAGCTAATGACCAACTTTACGATACTGACCATAGAGTGTGCCAAAACTCCCTCTTCCAGCTCTCCCCCATTATCCAAATGTTTACGAAATTTTTTCGCAACTGTTAGTGTTTGGTACTTTGTTTAGGGTGCAAGCTATCATGCATCCTTAGATAGTCCCGTACATTTAGCGCTTTCAGGAAATAGACGTCCTGCTTTGCCTCATTCATCGCATGTGCGGCCATCGCAGGATCAACGCTATCGGTTAAAAACTCACGGACATTTCCGAGATAGGTCGAGGGATCGTTGCCTCGTGCCATCTTGTACACGTAGTCGACCCAAAAATTTCCAAGAGGATCCGTTATAAGATCGGTTGGCTTCGGCGTTCCCTTCCCTTGAAGTTTAAAAAGCTTAAAGACTTCTTTAGGCTTTATATTTTTCGTATCCAAAAACTCGAGCTGTGATTGCACCAAGCCTTTAAGGAAAGAGCTACGACGATTGACTGCGTGTACTTCATACAAATTCCTCATCAAATCTAAATCCATAATTAGGCTGTCTGGTCCTTTGAGAACTTCAAAAGCCTTCGTCTCCCAGAACATTTTAGTGTTAAATGCACCCCACATGCTGAATTCTGGAAGATAAGGAAAGTTTTCAAGGTTCTTCTTCTCGTTGAGGTCCAAAACATCAAAAACGTGCTCCGACGTAGCTTTTTGTAGAACCCACTGCTCGATTTGATAGATATAAACACTTTCACCCAAGTACCCAAATTTGGTTGAATCCTTTGCTTGAGCTATGTTCTTGGCCACGTTACCCTCGCCTCCCAATGTTTTAGCCATAGAGTTGTATAACTCCTCAATCAGATCCTCATTTCTCTCCATTGGTTTCTCCTTCAGCGAAATCAGAAAATGGCCGTCACGGTCAACCTTTTCGATCACAGCTAAAGCTCCGTTAAAACCAACACGCTCGTATAGTTCATCAAAGACTACATCAAAGTGGATTAAACCACTTTCATCCTGCGCTTTCATGTAAACGAAGTCGGACCAAAGCCTTCCAAGAGGATTCGTAGTCAGATCAATTGAATTCGCTGTGTCCTTCCGTTGCAATTTCAGAAGGTCAAATGATGTTTTCAGATCTATGGACTCCTTCTCAAAAAAATGAAGCTGAGACAATAGCAGGTCTTGAGCGAATTTAAAGCTTCCATCAGCTTCGCCAATTTCAGCTAGGCCCTCCAACAGATCAAGATCAATCATTTTGGATTCTGGCCCTTTCAAATACTCGAAAGCCTGATCAATCGACTTCTTCTTGGTGTTGTATTCAGCCCACATGTTAAATTCTGGATGGGTGAGCGCGTCTTTTAGATTCTCTTCCTTGTCAAGGTTCAAATACTTGTATACTGTTTCCGGATTTTCACCAGTTGAAACCCACTGCGCGATTTGATAGTCGTAAAGACTGTCAACCGTGTCTTTATATATGTTTGAAGTCTTTGCCTCCAGAATAACCTTGATCACATTATTTTCACCTTTCAAATTAGCAGCCATTGCTTCAAACATCACCTTGCTCACATCTTGCTTACGCGTAGTTTTCTCGACGAAATACTTCCACAAGGGAAACAGTCGATTTTCGAATGGGTTTCCATCCTCGTGGAGTTTCAAAGAGATAAAAATATCCCCGGCAGATTTTTGTTTGTTAGACTGCAACCACCATCGCTTTCGAACCTTTCTTCCAGACTCGGATAACATTGTTGAGACACTTTGACTCAGCGTAGTAGGAAGGGGTAACTCATCTTTTCTCACGAGGCTTTCGAGATCCTTGATTTTCAGAGGACCTAGCCTTCTCGCCTCCCTTGGGGTTACGTCTGAGGCCATCCTCAAGTATCCATGCTGTTTCGAGGCAGGAATTGTCAGATCCAAGTAGAATGCATCCGAAGCCTGCAAGATGCGTGGACCGTCTTCGGGTGAAAGGTCAGGCAGTTGCCATTCCCATTGTTGAAGGAGCGACGAGCAGGATAACAAACAGCGTCTTTGCAAGAGGGGTTTTAGTTAAGTTGATCGGCATAGTTGAAAAAAAACGACCTGATGTTTTGAAGGCAAAATGGAAAGTGAGAAATAATGTAAGACCTCATCAAAAATTGAATTAGATGCCAGATAAAATGATTCGTTTGTGAGGGGGGGGCTGAAAAACAGAACAGGAACTCTTTATATTCACTTTGCTGTTTCCATGTTCAAAAATTGGATGCACACAATCCCCATCATTTTTAAGACATCTGTTTGGTACTGTTTGACATACACAGCAATTATCTCGTGCCTCAATTTACTGTAGTATGTTCTAGGAAGATGCAGACAATTGTCTTTTTTCCGACAAGATCAGATAAAAAGATCTGTTTGGTACTGTCTGGTATACACAGCAATCATCTCGTGGCTCAATTTTACTATGTTATGGTGTGGGAAGAGTATTGTTTATTCACTTGCAGAAGTGGTAACTGTGAAAGAGTAAGTCAATGGAAAAGTATAGTAGCTCGTATAAAAATCCTACAAATAGTCCTATCTAACCTATTCCATTTTGGAAAGAGCAATATAGAAAGTAATTTTGTATGCTTTTTATATCTAAGCCCTGCCATGTGTAGTTCACTCTAAACATTGTTGGTCACATCAGCACTATAACGGGGTTACACGACGGTTGTAACATCATTCCGAAAGTTACGGTTGAAGTTTCCTTTTATTGCATATAATGCATTTTGATACTTCTTTTAGAGAGGTATTAAGTATGAGCGTTAGGATACGGTATTCGGTAACACCGTATCCTATCGATTAGGATTCGATAATCGATAACGTTGTACTAAGTACATCATACATGTAACGGGGTGAGCCCGTTACATATTATTGACACTTATATGAAGTGTCAATAAAATATTATTATAACTAATAATATTTTGACAATATTACCTTTTCTTATAATATTGTTCCTAGATCTCCTTGAAGTTGGAGATGCCCTCTCATTGGTTGATATGGGCCATCATATCAACCAACGCGCTGGCCAATGACCGATGGACGCGCGCAATGAGTGGAGGGCAAGTTGTCAACATACATAGTTGTAGTTTAATATAGTTAACATAGGTTATAACAGATTAGTTTTATTAGATAGTTAACTATATTAAATACAGTTTTCTTTTCCTCTACTTCTAAGCGTATCGTTTAGAAGTAAAGTTTCCTCTGCCTCTTGTGTAAGAGAGGTTTTGAGGCACCTTCTTTCACTGTCATCAGTGAAAGTAGACTATACTGTTATCAGTATAGTCGGAGGGTGCCCCATTACACCTGGTAGCACTTCGTGGTCCGTTCAGCGACCACCGCACCATCCGCTATGGAATCAGCGGGTAATGAACGTCATCACGCAACGCGTGATGATTTCCGCCATTTGAGTGACCTCGAATGGAATGCGGTTCAGCGTATGGCTACCATCGGCAACCCTGCCGTTGGTGCCATGTTGCTCTTTTTTAGCGGAGACGATCAACATGCAACCATCGCCAAGTTCATACAACATGAACTTGACGAAGTTGTAAAGAAACTCACCTTGCTAGAGAAGCAAGGTTCTCAACAGGTCGAACTGTTGAGAGAACAAGGCGCTCAACAAGCTGACTTGTTGATGCAGCAGGGTGCTCAACAGTCTGAACTGTTGAGACAACAGCAGGCTAGTGCTGTTGCTGCCGGGTCGGCGTATGCGCGTCGACCCGAGTCCTTGAAGATTGATGTCTCCAAGTACAAGGCAGTCGAAAGCGACTCCTTGTTGAGATGGTTCGTCGAGCTCGACGATGCCATTGAGGCTCGTCGCATCGATGACGATGCGATGAAGGTCAATTTCGCCATGTCGAACTTGGCAGGACGTGCCAAAGCTTGGGCCTTAGGGCTCAAACTGCACGACCCATACGTTTTCCCAACGTATGACGTCTTCAAGGCGCGGCTCAAACACACGTTTGAACCGCCTCGCGCCGAATTCAGGGCTCGGACTGAGCTCCTGGATTTAATACAGGGTAAGCGTGATATACACGCTTACGCCCAACACGTACGATACCTCGTTAGCTGTATTGTGGTGAAGTGCTTTCCTAAATTGTGAAGAACCCAGGGGCCAGTTGGATTGAAGGGGCAAGGGACCGCGGACTAGGGAGAAGGGACCACGCACCAGAGAGAAGGGACCGGAGATAAAGGGAGCCTCGGAGTGAAGCGACAGTTGGCTGAGAACGTGAAAGACAAACAAAGGAGAGGTCATTACCAGGGTAACGTTTAACCTGTACCGAAGGGAGTCGACCATGGCCCTCATTGGTCGACCCGGTCCCTCAATGGTCAGGTCCATCATCGGTAGACCTGGGTCCCTCATCTGTCGACCTCGTCTCCTCGTCGGTAGACCTGGTCCCTCATTGGTCGACCCGGTCCCTCATCGGTCGGCCCGGTCCCTCATTGGTAGACCTGGGTCCCTCATCGGTCGACCTCGGCCCCTCGGGGTTCACCCACTCCTGACCAGTTAATACAAGGATCAGACCAGTCGACGCAAGGAATCAGAGCTTCAGGCAAGGATAGAGTAAAGGAGTTAAAAGGATAGGACTATATTATATACTACTCAATTTGCGATCTACTTGGCAAGTCTTCGTCGCGCTGTAAAGGAACTCTAGTCTGGACACACGTGTAACGGGGCTAGAGCGTACCGTCACTAGCTTTCACGTGCGCTTGAGGAAGACTCAAGCCCAAGTATTAGGTGTTAAGTAAATTTAACTCTGATTTTTATTTTGGTTTTAATTCGTACTAATTACGAAGATTTTAGTCGTAATAAATACGACAGTGTTCCCGCCTTTCGGGAACCACACAATTTCAGGTTGATTTAACATTGGTCCATATTGGGGACTTTAGGCCCAATAATAAATCAATAATAAATTACCACGCTGTGCCCGCTATTCGGGCCCAGCACCTGCCTACATATGTAATTGTTTATTTGTTAATGCTATATGTGTAATGTAGCCCATTACAACACGCCTGTTCCGGGGAAGGGATATATTTGGCCCCCCGTTGAAGACAGACGTGTGGTTAGACTCAAGTGCGAGCTGAACCCCACGTGGCACGACTCCGTCACCCAAGAAGGACTTGTTCTAAGTTACTCACTGTTCCGGGAAGGGATATATTTTGGCCCCCCGTCGAAGACAGTTGTGTAGCGAAGTTCAAGTGCGAATAGAGCTCCAGGATATATTTGGCCTGTGAGCTCGTTCGAGTAGCAACACCCCCCAAGACCCGCTATCGGAAGCGGTCTCCCTCACCTCAAGGTCCGGGAGAAACGTAAAGGTCAGGTGGTTAATACCCCTGAAACAGAAGGAAAAGGCCAGGGACGACAAGCGCCCCTGAAGAATTTGGCTCTAAGTCCACTCTCGACAAGGTCGATCGAGTGGCCACCTATCGGCCCACAGAGTGAAGCATATCCACTCGAGGCCCCCCAGGTCTACCTCCTTCAAGGCAGACGTCTACATCATCACCAAGTCCTCCGAAGAGTGCAACCCGCCAGCCGACGGGTACACAAGGTGAGAGAAGGTTCATACGCGGCATCGGGGTACCCCCTCCGACAGTCGGCAGCCCGGCACAGTGAGTGGTTTGGGGTCTCATCATACAATTTTGAGAACCCACTCCACCACAG